TTGAATCCTTGAAAAATTATGTTGCATCTATACGTGTTGCCAGGTATTTGCCTCGTTATGATTGTTGGGGCTAGTTGCCAGGTATTTGCCTCCTTGAAAAATTATCATTTACAATATCACAACACAAATCTCATCATAGAGTACGTCACCACACAAATCTGACGTAATCAACAACATCACAACACAAATCCAACGGAATACACATCACATCCAAAATCCGACAAAAATACACATCACAAATCCATACGATAATATATATCAGTCTAAGCTAAACAAATTAAAATGTCTCAAGTCGACCCATACGATAATATGTAGTTTAAGATAAACAAATCCAAGGTCAATAAATCCATACGACAATATATATCTTAGTGGAAAAACTAACAAATAAAAAATCCACCCCTTCCCCGTCGTCTCTCTCTTCGCACTTATTGAGATCGTCGGCGTCCTCCTTCGACTTGAGCTTGAATATGCTCGCTCTCCGGTTGTGTGTGGGGCTGTGATGGACCGGCTTGCTGTGACGGACCGGCTTCATCGTCGTGCGTGCAAGGTCTACCGCGCCTACGTCGGCGTACATATAGAGTATCGTCAAGATCCACCTGCTCACGACCATCATGTCGATCCTCATAAGTTTGTTGAAAAGCTTTACGAACTCTCGCCACTATCCGATGCAATATCGATACATGTACTGAATCTCCTGTGGCGGTAACTATGCCCTCATTTGCAAGCCCCTCGACGTCATCCATAGCATCTATCTACAATTACATAAAAATATTGATATTAGAAACCATAAGCTAAGAAGAGATTGACATTCTATGATAATTTTGACAATTTAACTTACCCATCGTCGCTCATCTACCCCTCTTGGTACATATCGGGATTGTTGGGAGCGAATCTCGATTTCGTCGACTGGAGGCGTAGTTTGAGTGATTATCCAACGTCTGGTAATCCCCCAATACCATTTAATGTAATCAACTTCTTCCATCGGAGGATAAAGCGGATCGACAATAAGTTGATGCCGATCATTCCACCGAGCTATGTATGATTGATGCGTGCGCCTCCAGTCAATCTGATGTCCACCTTTAGTCGCCTTTCTCTCTATTTTTTCGACATATTGTGGAGCATGTTGCGCGAGTCCAAACTGTCTAAACACGCGATCGGGTACGTGCATCTCCACAATCTCGAAACAAACGAGAGGAACTCTGGCCCTCCATATGCCGTGGCCCTCCATACAAATCAGCGGTAGACGAGGTAGGTGAGGGGTGTATGGCTGCCACTCGAACTGCAAAAAAATCCAAATGTTAATATCTCTTTGAAATATATTGATATCATAGAGTACTTCAATTCAAATTCGATACCTGAAAAATTTTCATCCGGTCGAGCTCCCCTCTGTAAAAATCTAATTGCCTAGCCGGGGTCTCATCATAGGCTTTTGTGACATTCCATCTGCAAGAAACGTTTTTGTTCAAAATGTTAAATTTAAAATTAAATACAAATGAGATTCAATTTGACGCTTTTTACCTGCAGCCTAGTGGAATATGTCCATCTAACTCTCGGATCTCGCATAATCGTGGTTTCAAAACCAATCTTTCCCATGCCCAAACTTGTAGCAAAGTTAAACAACCCTTGAGCTCCTTATTCTGCATTAAAGCAACCTTTGACATTTCTCGATATAGGTATGCTAAAACAGCACTACCCCAGGATAATGTCCCGCACATGTCGAAGTCTTCGATAAGTGGTAACCACCTAGCGCGAGTTCAAATACGTTAGTCATGTATACTAAGAATAGTGAGCAAAAATCAATACTTAATGTTTACTTACCTCAAATGGACTTTATGTTTACTTGAATCGGGAAAAAGAAGTGTCCCGATCATGTGCATAATATATGCTCTCGCATGCTGTTGGATCATCACTTCAGGTGCATCTTGTGGCAACGGGTTTCCAAAACTCTCCTTAAGCCACTTCAATCTAATATACCCTCCAGGCAAGGATTCCGGAGATATTCCTAACAAATTATCACATACTCTTCGCCAAACATGCCTATCAGTCCCCGTGATAGATCCATGGTACTCCTTCACGACCTTGATCCATGGTAGATCTAATGCGTACGGATTTTGGTCGTCCAGCTTGTCTTTTGTGCTTAGGTGGTAATAAGTACGGTATATATAATTCCGGCCAATAGCGAGTATCATCGGGAGGATGAAAACTCTCCTTATAAGCCCGCCGATAATGATTTGTTGAATACCAAGCTGAGCAACTCTCCATCGTATATAGACATATTATTCATTCTAATACTCAGATTTCCATTGAATAAGCAAATAATCGGTACTCCGTTCGCCATTTTAACTGAAGCATTAAAATTCATCATATAATAATTATATTTTTTTCCAGAGATTTTTCTAGACCATAATCATATATTTCTTCTAGATATACAACATTAACTAAACAATACATATAAATTTATGGAAAAATTAAAATTTGTACCTTGATTAAATCTCAGATCTCCTCGGCCTCGCAGAGAATCGACGGCGTCGGCGTCAGATTTGAGGGAGGAAGAGGTGAGTTGGGTTTGGGGGAGAGAGATAGGGATTGTTGGGTTTTGGGATAGATGGAGATCGGGTTTGGGAGAGAATGAGAGCTTTGATCGGCTTGGGAGAGAATGAGAGCTCGGGAGAGAGAGAGGGGGAGATCTAGAGTTGAGCTCAGGAGAGAGAGAGAGAGAGGGGATCGGAAGTGGGTGCTCGGGGGAGAGAGAGGGAGATGGCAAGAGAAAAAAACGAAGGGGAAAATGTGCCCTAGGTTCGGTGTATATATAGTCTGTAATTATACGCGACTAGTAGTCCCGTATAAATTGCAGACCAGGTTTAATGCTCGCGAAATCCACGGGACTAGTAGTCCCGTGGATTTGCTGGGCAGTGGAATTGGCTACTGTCAAAACGTACGGGACTACTAGTCCCGTACGTTTTGTTAACAAACAAAATTAGTGAACTTTAAACATACGGGACTAGTAGTCTCGTATATTTTCTGATCCATTTTTCAAAATCGACCTCTTTTCCCAAAAAACGGTCTATTTTGCTAATTTTTTCCAAAAACGGTCTATTTCGCTAATTTTTTTCCAAAAACGGTCTATTTTGCAAATTTGCCCATTTCATAATCACATATGATTTTTCAAATAAAATACTTACAAATTTTTATGCTAGGCAATTTTGGAAGTCTTTTCGAATTTTGTAATTTTGCGGATTCTTTTGCAAAATACGCAATTTCAAGAAGTAGTTTGGAGACTCCTGCAAATTTTATAGATTCTAAAACTTTTCGATGCAGATCTTCGGAGGATTTGAACCAAAAGCTCAAGTGTATGTCACAAAGATGAAGCACGAATGCTTTGACAATCGCTTTTCTATGAAGCATTACCCTCATGAGATATAAAGAAAGAGTGGTGTTAGGGGCACACCCCCTACCACACCACCAACCACACCCCCCTCTCCCATCGCTACAGTAAACCGGACCCCACATGAGATTTTAAAAATTTTAAAATCCCATGTGGGGCTCGGTTTACTGTAGCGATGAGAGAGGGGGGTGTGGTTGGTGATGTGTTAGGGAGTGTGCCCCTAACATTATTTATAAAGAAAACATTGGTTAATAAAGTTTTGATGATTGAAGAGGACGTCATCAAACACGTGCCTAAAAATAGAACAATTTATTACAATAGCTTGCCAAATTAGAACCGAATATGTAAATATATTAGCAAAAAGACATGAAGTCGTGAGACGCTACGTATCCGATGCACCAACATGAAATCAGCTACAATCCAGAACCACGGAACTCTAATTCCTTCTCCGTTTTTTTTCCCTCTATATAAATCTATGATTCCTCCTAATATCCATCAAATTTTGGCAACACAATATTTCATTTTTTCCCCCTTCAAAAAATATCCATGCCAATCCCAATAGACGAAGATTTTAGTGGTTTCAAGAGTTCCCGAAAAATAAGAAAATGCCAAACCTCTAAATTAAAAGTTTTATTACCCCCTCTCTCATGTTGGGTCTCCCTCATCTGTAAACTCCACATCTTTCATAGCCTCTGGCCCAAGCGTGGCGGTAAAATGGGCACATAATCTCCTAACGTTCCCTTTTACCACAAAGTCATGGTAATACGTGCATAACGGAGACAGTGGGCAAATTGAAAAGTTGTTGATGGAGTTTAATGGGTAGAAGTAAGGGGAATAGAGAGACTACGGGTCGGTGATTAAAAATAGAGAATTGATAGGTAACACATAAATAGGGTAGTTATGAATATGAGGAGATTATGGGTGAGCAATTATCGTTATTTATTTTTCTTCTTCATTAAATTGAGTATGCATGTATGTACATGTGTGTATGTGTGGCATCATGAAGAGATTCAAAATTACATGTATATTCATAGTGTTATGAAACTAATGAAGTAGAGAAAAAAAAGGTAGACGAGAAGTAGCTAGAGAGAAATTTTATTTCATTCGTTCTTCATTGTTATCTCAAAGTGAGATAGGAATACCTCTATTTATATACAAACTAAGATGATGATACATGAATCATATTAATTACTCATTCATGAACTTAGTCTTTCAAGAACATGCATTGTGTTGTTCTAGGAAGAAGATTAATGTACTAGGGGATTATCAACTTCTTGGGAAACTAAATGGACATCCACATTATTTCATAACACTCCCCATTGGATGTCCAACATTACACAAAGAATATGCTTCGTTAAAACCTTACTAGAAAAAAACCAAGTGGGAAAAAAATCCTAGTGAAGGAAAAAAAGTACACTATTCTTGTGTATTAGTTTCTCCCCCTGATTCAAATATCATTTGAGATCTTTCAACCGACACATTCCAATATTTTTTACTATTAGTTTCTCCCCCTGATTCAAATATCATTTGAGATCTTTCAACCGACACATTCCAATATTTTTTACCAATTTCTCAAAATCATTTGAGATCTTTCAACCGACACATTCCAATATTTTTTACCAATTTCTCAAAAGTTACAGTCGGCAATACCTTGGTGAATAAATCTGCCAGATTATCACTCGATCGAATTTGCTGCACAACGATTTCATCATTCTTTTGCAAATCATGTGTAAAGAACACTAGTGGAAAATGTGGTTTTACCTACGGAAAAATAGCGACGGAAATTTTCGTCGCTATATTCTACGTTATAGCGACGAAAATTTCCGTCGCTATTTTTCCGTAGCTAATGTAATTATAGCGATGAGAAAACATCATTTACCCCGCGACGGAATAAATTCCGTCTGCTAAAAAAATTATGACGAAATTTTTGGCTAAATTAATTTTACCGACGGAATTTCCGTCGCTAAAATTAACAAGCGCCAAAAATTTTTGGCGCGCGGGCGCCCAAATTTTTTGGGCAGCCCGCGCCCGAATTTATTAACCCCCTAGGTTCCCCCCCCCCCCCCCGCTGTTCGATCCCCCCCCCAAGTCTGATCCCCCCAGTCCCGATTCCCGCCCCCATTCCTCCTTCCCCCCCCCCCCGCCTGTTCGATCCCCCCTCTGCGTCCGACTTCCCGCCGCCCGTTCATCCGCGCCGCCGCCCATCTCTCCCCCTCTCTCTCAAGGTATATATTTTTCTCATCCCCCTCAATCTCTCTCTCTTTCTCTTTTCTCTCCCCCCTCTCAATCTCTCCTTCTCTCTCCCTCTCTCTCGTCGGCCGCGGCGTCGGCGACTCGAGAGAGAGCGGAGAGAGAAGGAGCAGATTGAAGGGGGGGGGAGAGGATGCATTAATTTGTTATTTTTGTAATTATAAATTATTTTTTATAATTATAGTTTTAATTGGTAAAACAAAAAAACTTATGCCAAAAAACCAAACCCTAATAAAAATGTTCATATTGATGAAATTATAATTTTAAAAAATTAATTTTAATTAGGATTAGGGTTAGGGTTAGTTAGGCGAGGCGTTAGGGTTAGGCGCTTAGGTTTTAGGTTAGGCATTAATTGTTAGGGGGCGTAGGGAGGGTGGGGTGATGGTGAGGGTGAGGGTGAGCGGTGGGGGTGATGGTGAGGTTAGGGTTCGATTAGGGTTAGGGTTAGGGTTAGGCGAGGGTTAGGGTTTGGGTTAGGCATTAGGGTTAGAGGAGGTTAGGTGCCAGGGGGCGGCGTGCATGGTGAGGGTTAGGGGTTACGGTTAGGTGAGCGGTCGGCCGGGTGAGTGTTAGTGCCGTTAGCGTGATCTCGAGGGTGGGTGAGGGTGAGAGGGGGTGAAGGGTGGGTGTGAGTTGAGGTTAAGGCATAGGGTTACGGGTTAGGGTTATGGTTAGGGTTAGAGGAGGCGTTAGGTGATGGTAAGGGTGAGGTTGAGGGTTAGGGTTAGAGTTAGGGTTTGGGTTAGGATTTGGGTTAGGTGAGGGTTAGGGTGGGGGTGAGGGTGAGGGGTGGGGTGAGTTTGAGGGTTAAGGATAGGGTTAGGGTTAGGGTTAGAGGAGGGTTAGGTGAGGGTCTGGGTGATGGTGAGGGTTAGGGTTAGGGTTAGGGTTAGGTGAGGGTGGGGGTGCGTGTTAGGGTTAGGTGATCGAGGGTGGGGTGAGGGTGAGGGGTGAGGGGTGGGTGTGAGTTTGAGGGTTAAGGGTAGGGTTAGGGTTAGGGGAGGGTGAAGGTGAGGGTGAGGGTTAGGGTTGGGGTTAGGTGAGGGTTAGGGTTAGGATTAGGATTAGAGGAGGGTTAGTGAGGGTGGGGGTGATGGTGAGGGTTCGGGTAAGGGTTAGGGTTAGGGTTAGGTGAGGGTGGGGGTGAGTGTTAGGGTTAGGTGATCGAGGGGGGGGTGAGGGTGAGGGGTGAGGGTGAGTTTGAGGGTTAAGGTTAGGGTTAGGGTTAGGGGAGGGTGATGATCGATAATTGGTTAGCGTAACTATTATATCATTAATTACATAGAAACTACACACACCGTACACTCATATTTTCGAGCCGTAGAATACCCCGTCCAATAAATACTATATATAATCTCTTTATTTACTTGTCACATACGCGTACATGATCGTTGGCGGATACGAAACCATCTTGTTCGGTCCGATAACTTTTTTGTACGCGTATGTGAGAGGGGGCTTATATATAAATATTTATTGGATCTGTCCAGTTTGGACGGGTTAGGTATGTAAACATGGCGTGTATATGTATTTACTTGTGTTCTTGTGTACTTTCTT